CCCCGTGCCGCGGCTGCTGCCTCGCAACATTTTGTGGCACATTTTTTACGAGCTTTCGTATTTGAAAGTCATAAAATGCATTTTAACAGCTTCCCAACGCGCAGCCTCTGACAGCGCTCAGCGAATCCAGCTGCATGTTTTTGATGATTCGTGAAGATTCTCGGTTGCTGCTGTTGTTGCATGGACTGTTATTGTTATTGTTGTGTTGTTGTGTTGTGTTTTTATATTTCGTTTGGGCGCATCAAGTTATTATTATGATTAGATGAACCTTAACCCTTGACTGCACACTGGAATTTCGCTGCCCAAAACAAAAAACAAAACATCTTCATTCGGCCAAAAAGGCTGCAGCCCAATAAAATGTAATTAATTCGGCAAAAAACTTTTTACCAACCAATAAAGCAAGCACCGTGAAGAGCCAGCAGCAGTAGTAGCAACTGTAGCAACAGTAGCAGCAGCAGCAGCAGCAGCTGAAACAGCAATAGCTGAGGCATTTGCATGTCAAGGATGAGCCAAAAGCCACCAAAAATGCCACAGAAACTACTTCACGAGCTTAAACAGGAGCTGCCAGTACAATGAGAGAGCGAGAGAGAGGGTGAGGGTGAGGCAGAGGGAGAGGGAAATGGAGAGAGAAAGAGACAGAGAGAGGGACAGGGAGAGACAGCTGGAAGCTAGCAAGGCAGGGGCAGGGAAAGGGGGTGAGCGGCAGGGAACAGGAACCGGAGCTGAACCAGCAGCTGCTAGACATGAACTTATAAAAGCTAGCAAAACTCTTGAACCGAACTCAACAGAGACGGATGCAACGGAACGGGGCGAGGACGAGTGAGGCAGCGGGGGGGAGGGGTTAGCTATGACTTCTCTGGCAGCGCTGCATTAAAAAGTTAATAAAATTGGAGCATGCCACAAGTCGTGCCGCAATTTGCGGCAGCTGCAGCTGCAGCACAAGGATATGGATATGGATATGGATATGAATATAAGTACACATGGCACATGCGTCTGTGTGGCAAGTTAAAGCTTTTGGCATGCTGCAGAGAAAAGCTAAAAGCAAAAGCAAAAAAAAAAAAACATCAACTTGCTGCAAGGTGGCATAAGCTGTTCCTTTGACTTGCAACTTGCCACTTGCCAGCGCACAGCCCGCACACAAATGGCAAACAATTAAAACGCTCAACATTGAGCAAGCTGCGGATTTATCGACACACACACACACACTCATGAAGTACAAGCAACTAATTGCAACAGCAACTGCTGCCAAGTGGCGCCACACTTGTGGCTAAGGGTCCCTTATCCGCCAGTCAACTGCAACTCAAGTAATGCGGCCAATTGTAAATATCGAATGTGCCACAAAATTGGCAGCGCAACACACACAGCCACACAGAGCCACACACAGCCACACACGCACACAAACACAAACACACGGATGTAATTGCATCGAGACTAATTAAGAACGCATTAAAAACGATTCGCAGTTTGAGACAGAAAGTGTGAGCAATTTGTTAAGTCGCGCATCAGGTTGCGTAAAAGTGCTCGGAAAGCAAATAATGTGTGTTTGCAGAACTTGAGGCTTCACTGTAGCTAGTCGCTTGCAGCTCGCTTACGCAACTCACTTGTGGCAAATGAAAATTAACTTAGCATTTGCTGCTGTTGGCCTCTGCGACGGATGCGTCAAACTAGAAGTTCAAATGTATCCTCAGAAAACTTTTAAATACTTTAGCCACACCCACACATACCCTGTAACGAACTAGAGGAGGCTATACTATTTCTGTTTTCATGTACATATATATATATATATATATATATATATATATATATATATATATATATATATATATATATATATATATATATATATAAAGTTCTCATCTTGATGAGAAGCCAAGTTGCGCTTTGATTTTGAGAACTCAAGATTCTCCTTTCGATTAGGTTTACTCGCCTCTTATTGCAGAGCAGCTGAATATATTTTCTTACACTTTTAAGCACTAAAATATATAGCTTAAGTGGTGTATATATGTATATATATATGGTGGTATATATGTATGTCTTCTTGTATAGCAAGCCTGCCTAAAGTTGATTTTCCTGTGAATATCGTATTGAAAAGACTCTCGCATAAGTCATAGATCAAGAAGACTCTTGCATACTTCGTATAAGAAAGACACTTATCGTATATATTGTCAATATGGTGTCACATATATCGTATGTAAAAGAAAGACTCACAAATATTGTCAATATCGTATCAGAAAAACTCTCATCTCTATTGTATCAGAAATACTCTCATTATATCGTATCAGAAAGACTATATATCGTAGACTCTCACATATCAGAGCAACTATCACATATATCATATATATCGTAAAGACTTTTCCAAATAATGTCTATTTAATATATCGTATATATATCACAACAGAGACAGATTGAAACTTAAATATCGCAAATGTCATGACAGAAAGTCTTTCACATATATCGTATATATTACCACAGAAAGACACTGGCCTATATCGTATATATCGCAGCAGAAAAACTCTCACAGTAACACAAATTTCTATCTAAATTATCGTATCTTACGTATTGTATATCTATATCGTATATATCATAACAGATAGACTCAAATATCGTATAAATAACCACAGAAAGTCTCCCACATTCACGTCTATCGTAACAGAAAGACTCTCATATATATCGTATAACTATCTGTCTATCTATCTGTCTGTCTATATACTCTCACTGCACCATCTACAAATCAGCGTATCAAGTTTCTTCAGCTTTATTTATAGAGCAAACAGATGTAGCAAGACGATCTCTATATTGACTCGGACTGTTTGATGTTCCACTGAGCTGTAGACTTTAAGACAAAGTCAAAAGACTTCGCGTGGCCATAAATACGCATAGATCCATATACGAAATTTTGTCTGATCGATAATTGGTTGATAACATTTGAGCGTTGATCGTGTTAAGAGTTTTTTAATGTAGGCAAACTGCTTGACTCTCGCTCGCTCTCTCTCGCCCTCTCTCGTCCTCTCTCGCTCTCTCTGGCAGTCGTCGCCTGTCATTTCCGTCTCTGAGCTACGCACGTGATTGGAAATTTGAATAAAAGGCTTTTACGTGTTCACGATATGTGCGTATGTGTGCATAAACGATATATCAATAAAGCATTAAAATAATAAAAATAAGCAAATGACAGCGACAAACGTGCCGTGTCCAGGCGCTGCGGATGCCCCGCCCAATCGTTGCTGCAACACCTTCAGCTTTAACTACATTTCGTTTTTAATATGCCGCAGACGTTGAGGGCAAACTTTTTTGCGCCCGCACCTTTTGTCAGCCAGCAGCACGTTGTCCGCCCGACCCTGCCAGCTGCCATCGGCCACCTGCCCCCGCCGCCGCTTCGCCTTCAGAATTATTCACTCTAATTCAATTTGAAGTGCAAGCATTTTGCGTACTGTGGCCGTAAGCCAAGTGAAAACTTTTCTTACAAATCGTTGCGAGCGATGGGCGACGGGTGGTTGACCGCCGTCCACTGGGCGTGTCATGAATTTCGGGCTCTCTTCGAGACTGTGGCACGGGCTCTACGTGGCCTTGTCGAGTCTTCATTTGTAATAAGTTTCGAGGCATTTCGCTCGCACTGCATTTCATGTCTGGGGTTGACCGAAAATAAAATGAGCAAGCCATCCCAGCGATGTGCCCCGCCCCCAACACATGCTAGCTAGTAGCACACACAAACACACACCAGCACGCACATTTGCACTGTTTGCCCCACCTGAGCCTCGGCGTCTGGCGTACGTGACATTTGGCGGCGCCACAAAAGCACGTAAGAGAAAATACTCTGTAAATCTGTACGTCATTTCATCTTTTCCGTAGTTTTTTCTGCGTTCTTCGTTCTGGCGGCTCGCTTTTTGCCGCTTGGCGTCTATGGTCCTTTGCTCTAACGGCTTGTCGTCTGCTGTTTCCTCTTCTTTTTTTTGTATTTTTTTTTTTTTCACTTTTTTTCTGGTGTGTTGCAGCCTTGTTTACAACTGCGTCGCCGACGAAGCGCAAAAGTGTTTGTTGCCGCAGGACGATCGAAGGCAAAGCCATTGAACGGCAACTGGAGCTGGCTCCAGTTGTTACTTAGTTGAGAGAGTGAGTGAGGCAGACAGAGACAGAGACAGAGCGAGGGAGCGGACAACAGCGTCTGCAAGCAGTTGCCTGGCCTGAGCTGCTGGAACTGCCATAAATTTTGCTTATCTAAACGGAAAAATACAATTTGTAATTGAAAATATTTGTGCGCACTTTGGCGCACACACACAGACACACACACACACACACACACCAGCTGGCTGCTAAGTTTTTCTTTATTTTCGGCGTTTTTCCTACTTTTGCCTAGTTTTTGACCAAGAGCCGCGCCGCAAGGCTGCTCAACATTTTAATGGGTTTCCGTCGCTTTGTTTAATTGCCATTGCGCCTCTCTATGTGCTTCTCACAAATAAGCCATTTGATTGGCATTCAAACCAGGCAAGAGTCAGGCAGGCAAAGGTTAGAGCATTGCATTTATTTTCCATTAAGAAAACCTATAAATATATAACTTCATATATAACTGAGCTCTCTATATATGTTTCAATTGATTAACTTTCTGCACGCTAGTTGCTTGACTCTTTTGCGCCGCTCTATTCGCTTCTCATGACGCAACAAGCTGATGAAATTTGTATTCTGGAAATTCCTTTGGAACAAACTGAATATAATTATTTTTTATTATGAGAGCTTTTAGCTGTCTACTGTCTACATCGCTGCGAATGCGTGAATTTTATGTGAATTTTGTGGCATGACAAAGATAATTTTGCGAACAATGTGTGCTTGACCATAATGTGTAGCAGTTCGTGGACAGGTATTATGGAAATTGAACGACTGTGAAACTGTCTGGAATATACATATATATAAATAAATACATATATATATATATACACATATGTATATACATGTATATTCATACATATATTCATATTTATATATATATATGTATATTCATATGTGTCCACATATATACGATAATTTGCGGCTTAGCGCTTCGATACGCCGACCAGAGCGGGGCGTATGCAACGTTTGTGCAGCTTGTAGCCCAATTTGGTGACTTGCACCACTGTGTTGGCGTCGACTGTGTTGTCCTGCGTCTGGTAGAGAGCCTCGTGCAGGTTGGGGTCAAATTTCTGATTGATCGGATCTAGAATCTCGAGGCCATGACGCTTGAACACCTGCTGCAGCGAGGCACGTGTCAGATTGAGTCCCTCGTACAGGCTCTTGAGATCGGCGTTTGCATTCAGCTTCTCCTTGGGCACCGCCTGTGTGGCATGGCCCAAGACATCGGCCACCTCGATCAGATCCTTGCAAAAGCCCTGTATGCCAAAGATCTTAGCGTCGTCGATCTGCTTGTGGAGTCGCCGGCGCATATTCTCGCCGTCAGCCAACGCCCGCTTGTACTTGTCGAGCAGCTCGTTGTGCTCCACCTTGACTGAGGCCAGCTCCTGCAGAAGCCAATCGATTTCCGACGTGCCAGGCCCCATCTTCGGCTCCTCAGCTTTCGACAGTTTCTGCTCTTGCAATGCTTCCAGCTGTTCCGATGATTCGTGCTCCTGCTGCTGGTTCTGCTTTGACGTCTGCTTAAGCTGCTGGGCCTGTAGCGGTTGTTGTTGCTGTGGCGGCGATGGCGCCGGCGTTGGCGTTAGCGTTGGTGTCGGCGGCAGCTGCACCTGCTGCTGCTGCTGCTCCTGTTGCTGCTGCTGTTGCGGCTGCATCTGCATCTGCATCTGCTCCTGCATTTTCTTTGTACTGTAAGCACGGCGCAGCGTCGGAACTGTCTGAACTGCTAGGCGCCGCGAGACCAAATTTTGTACCGCTGCCATAGTCTTCAGCTGACCCAAACGTTTGCTTAGCATTTTCAATGTGAATTCGGGGAAGACTTCTTGCAATTGATTGAATCGATTATTGAAAACTTATGAAACTTTGAAATAAGTTGTACAAAATGAAATTTTGATGCATTACATATCCTATCGATAACATTTGTCTTAAGATGACAGATTTCGATAGCTCTGTGACTTCTATATAAACAAAATACTAGAACTAAGTTGATCTGATTTGAACTTGATTGGATATTAGAGACCAGATACCAAAAGCCACGATAGCGGTAGCAATCGAAGCTAGTTTCGATGGGCATTTGTAAAGTCAAACGTTAGCCAACACTTAAGATCACAACCAATTGGATGCTTATGAAATATGCTGCGCTAATGGGCCGTCGATCGGGCCTTGGCCTTTGCCTCGCGTGTGCTGCGGCGAGCCCCGCCTCCAGCCAGGTTTGGCACCACAAATAGAATTGACACGCTCGCAGTCGACGTCGCAGTCAGCGTCACAGTTGCATGCCAGCGTCAGCAACAACAATAACAACAACAAGCTGGGCGCAATGCCCACATCGGGCCGCAGCGAGCCTCGACATCGTCTTATCATAATGATGACGTTTACATTTCAATTAACGAAGAACAACATAATTGCAGCAGTCAAATTATATAATTATACACAAACAACACACCAACACACACGCACACACACACACGCTCACTCGAACTCAAACACACATGTGTTTAAATATAACGAGCTGAGAAGAAGAGGCACGGGGGAGCATTGAGTATTGGGGCCGCTGCCGTCGCATCGACATGGCTCTGGCATTTGATGCATATTGAAGGCGGCTGGCTCTTTGGCATTGGGATCTGCTGTGTGGCAGCTGCAACGTTCCGGCCGCCGACGTCAAATGCTATGCAGGTGTTGCCCCATGTGTCAAAAAATAATCATTTTGGAAATCACTTCACAGCAAAGACCGAGAACGCTGCCAGCGGGGATGGGGCGTTGAGGGTAGAGAGATATGAAAAATGCGTTCGATAAATGCACCCGGAACGGGCAACGGGCAACGTGCCACGCAATGGGGCAACATGAGTGCCGACCAGTAAGAGGGGACGACGTGGCAGCCATAATGCAGCACAGGCCAGCGCCTGCCTGTCAAGTGCTCGAGCAGGCAGCGTGCGAAGCAAAGCAAAGCCAAAGCCCAGGCCAGGCCATAATTTGTATAAAGCGCTGTCTGTCTTATAATTCCATTTCAACATTCAATTCAATGAGCGACTTGAAGCAGTTCCCAGTCAGTCCAGTCGATCGCAATGGGTCGCAGCTGCGTGCAGCTACACTAAGCGAAATAAGCGAGGCGCAATCAAAATACAGTCGAATGACAGCAAAACAGTGTTGGGCAACGCAGCAAATATTTGTTTAGAGTAGTGTAGACCAAAATCGTAATATCTTTAGATGAAAGTAAGAATCAGTCATATATAATTATATATAAATATATATATAAATTATATTGTCAACTCAACTCGGTTGATTCTACAAAGAACTTCGTCCCATCAAAGTAGTCCTTGACTTACATATATGTAAAATAAGCATCGTAACACCACCGAAGTACTAAAGTTGGTTTTTAAACTCGAAATTGTGTATGTATTTTCAAAATTATCATATTTCCATGAGAAGTAATAGACGCGATATGGCATCCAATCCAACTGGTATTACGTGCAATAGCTCTGAATTGAAGGCGTGCCCTCACTGCAATCGCACCTTCAATCCGTCTGTACTGAGCAAGCACGTGGCCATCTGCGGCAGGGGTCTGAAGAAACGGCAGATATTTGACTCCTCGCTTCAGCGTCGCGAAGGCTTCAAATACTTCAATATGGGCACTAACAACAGCTTTAGGCCCCTGAATGCTGAATGTGGAGTGTCTTGCTCTCACAGAATAAAAAAGCTGAGCACATTGAAGACCCCTTCAACTGATGCAACTAAGCAACAGAACGTAGGTGGCGATGTGCCAAATAGCCGAAATGTATCATTGCCACCGAATACTCCGGCTTCAAGTTCAACGTTAATCCGTGAGTCCATGCCGAGCAGCCATCGTGGCAGTATTACGCTGGAACGTTGTCCGCACTGTAATCGCAGCTTCAATCAGAAGGCCATAGACAGTCACATTGCTTACTGCATGGAGAAGACTGTTGTAGCATCCTTTAACTACGACAGCGATGACATACAGTTGGCCAAGAAGCGTACGGAGGCACGCTTGAATTATAAGCCTCCCATGCCTAGGTAAGCAATGACTAATGACTAATGACTAATGACTAATGACTAATGACTTATGACTAATGACTAATGACTAATGACTAATGACTAATGACTAATGACTAATGACTAATGACTAATGACTAATGACTAATGACTAATGACTAATGACTAATGACTAATGACTAATGACTAATGACTAATGACTAATGACTAATGACTAATGACTAATGACTAATGACTAATGACTAATGACTAATGACATGACTAATGACTAATGACTAATGACTAATGACTAATGACTAATGACTAATGACTAATGACTACTAATGACTAATGACTAATGACTAATGACTAATGACTAATGACTAATGACTAATGACTAATGACTAATGACTAATGACTAATGACTAATGACTAATGACTAATAAAGATCTATTCCCTTTCTCGACTCTAGGATCAAGCACAGTTCGGATCGATAAAATATCGTTTGGACAGGACCTTTAGATGTTCGTAAAGTTTGAAAAGATCACAAATTTTAGGCACAAAATATAATTGGAGCAACACAGGCGATGCATTCTGAGACTCCAAATACGAAAAACGAAGCACAGGCAGCTCAACGACAAATCAGCATCTACAACTCACGCAAAAAGTAAGTTTAATGCATATGATGAACATGCGAATACCCTATAGAATAACTAGAGCTCTTTCACGTAGAACACAATCGAAAAGCCCTTGAGAGAATGTTGTTGATATGAGAAGTGGGAAAAGAGAATCTGAACCTTCGCTTTTCGCGCAGTGTACGCTCTGCGGACAATTTAAGCCCAAAAACCAACTGACAAGTTGGCGTCCGACGTTGACGGCGACGTTATGAAAGAGTGAGATTTTTAATTATTGTTTCCATGTAGCGCTCTCCTTTGTTGTGTGTCGCATGTCAGAGTCGCAGTCCGACATTGCAGTAAGCGTTTTTTGTTTCTTTTTCATGTAACACATACACACTCACACACTTGCACACACTCACACCCTCACGCCGTGAGTGTCCAACCACAAACACGAGCAAGAATCGAAACCAAACAACCAAAACTCAAGAACACGAGCTGCTGTCCAACTCAAATTGTTTTCTATCGTGACACATGAGAGCGCTTCATAAGGTGCTGAATAAAAACCTGCCTGTGTGTATAATTTTTCATGACACGGTCCCACAGTATAATAATTTATTAACGTTTTTCTCCCACACACAAACACACACGCACACGCACGCACACACATCAGCCATTTAGTGGTTTCGCTTTCAGCATTTTTATTTAACCCGATTGAAAGCAAATTGAATACAGCAGCAGCAGCAGCACCTGCACAGGAACTGCCTTTAGTAGTATGTGGGGTGTGTAGTTTGGGGGTTGGGATCTGCTTTCCGGAGATATGGTAACTATATATGGCTCATTGGGGCGGCCCAGTCAGGTAGATGGCAAGCAACAGCGCTGCTACTGCTTGTTTGATGAAGCGCATTAAACAAATAACGCCCTGGCAATTTTTCATTAAAAACTCGCAGACAGGCAACATTTGGTTGCAAGTTGAAATGGTTAGAGTTCATCTCTCCCTCTCCGTCTCTCTACATATTGCGTACCAGATTTGCCGTCGCTGTATGGTGCTAATGCAGCTTTGGCGTGTGTGCCGCGTTGCCATTTGATGCACTCCACTCCATTACACATTGGCATTGTTTGCGCAGATAGCAGAAAACGAGCTGCTTCCAGCACCAGCAGCAGCTAAAGGAGGTTAAAGGAAAGCAAGGGGACAGGTGCGAGCTGCCAGGTGGCAGGAGGCAGACTAATGAGCGCCACGAACGAGCTGTGCCCACATAGCTTAAATGTTCTGCTCATAATGCGAAAATCATGTACAACAGCAACAAAAATGGACGTTGCATGCCAGAAACTAACAAATATCAGTTTTGGAACCAGTTGGGAATTATAGCTGCAATTGCTGCCTGGAAACTCAATGAATTATTGAATCAATTGTCGAGTTGCCATTTCGTTTGCCATTTGCAGCTCGTCAATGCCACAATTAAAGCTGCCACTGCCGCTGCAACACCTCATAAATTCTGAACTATCAATAAAAGTGTTTTTCTCTGTTCAAGTATTCATTGCACTTTCCCCAACCAATCTCACTCCTCCCCTTTTACTCTCATTTTCGATTCGGCTGACAGCGAAAGTGAGATATTTGCTGCAGTTGTTAAGCCCTGACAACATGTTAAATGTGCTTGTTAAGCTTGACAGCTGCCTGAGCTCCAGCCAAATAGCCAAATTACCAAAAATATCTGCACAAACTAAAAGAAAAGCAATATAAAATCCATTTTTTGTTCAGCTGTAATTATTTTGAATTTTCAGGAATCTGTTGCGAAATTGAGTTCATTTTATTCCTATGAATTTTGGCAAATAGTATAAAAAACTGTAATTGAAAATGCCAAAAATGCGTTTAAGTCTTTGTTTTGGCCAGTTGTTGTTGCTGCTATTGTGACTGCTGCCGTTTCAATATTTCAATTTTACTGCAAATTATTGCTTTGAGCCAAAAAAAATAATATTTCACATATGTCGTTTTGCATGCGCGCTCGATGGCACGTTAGCGGGCATATTGGTTTGGTAAGCCATCTTTAAGTCTATGAATGAGTTCTGTTCTCAAGTGAAAGGAGTATATTGGTTTTGTGAGCCATCTACTGCCTGTGAATAGGAGTTGAGCTGGGTGTTGTGCAGTCGACCAAGCTCCTACTTAACCTTCAACTCATACTCGTTCACAAAGTGAAAGAAGTATACTGCTTTCCGTCTGTATGTCCATATGTTACTTGACCCATATACCTATTGGGACTCCAATACTATCTAAAGATAGAAGGCGAAAGAGCGCGCTCGAGCTCAAAAGGAACTTTTTGAGCTCTTCTCTTGCTTTATCAGAATTATATATATATGTGAGCGAGCATGCTGCAGTCTGTACCGCCTATAGTCTATTTTTTTCCAGCTGTTTTGCATTTAGCGCCGAGCGCAAAGGCAAATTGAATTTGGCTAATTGGTGTGTGCATTTTAAATGAGTACTCAAATGATATATATTTTATATATATATTTATATATTTTTATATATATATAATGTCCATAATATATATATAAATAACAATATGCGGGCGCTGAACTATGAATTAATGATATAAATGTTTATTACTTTTATTTAATTTGTTTTGCGGCTAATACTAAATACACATGCGAGTGTGTGTGTGTGTAAACGTTAACTGTTATTAGGGTATACACACTACCCCCAGCCAGCCCGCTCTCTCTGCCTCTCGCTCTTCCCCTAGACGTAAATAAAAATGCCTCAGCATTTCAATAAAAAGTTTTTATGTTATAATTATGGGGCAAACGAGGCAAAGACAAGAGCGAGAGAGAAAGGAAGAGGGAGAGGGTGAGACGGGCAGCTCGGAATGCGTATAAAAATTAAGGCCTACGCCACACACACACACACACACACTAGAGAACGTCGCGGCTTGCCTTGGCCCATAATTTTTCTATTAGACAAATATGTAAGGCGCTCAGCTCGAGGGCCAAAGGCGGGCACAGGGGCCGCTGCTGGGGTGTTGTTGTTTGTCATGTGAGAGTGTAATAAATTTTATTAAAAACACACAGAAACGGCAACAGCAACAACAACAACGACAATAACAAACAGTGCAACACACTGGACGAGCCGAAGGAGGTGCCACACACATTTGGGTCATCATACGTGACCAGCACTGGAATGCTTGAGTTGCCTGCCCCCCGCCCACCTTTTAGCTGTGTAAAGAGAGAGGCGGGGCTAGCTGAATGTCCAGCTGAGCCAACACATAAAAAGAAAATAAACAAACGGCCAAAAAGCGAGGAGAAAAATGCAACAAGCGCAGCTGACTGCTCGCTGCCATGCACGAGGAGGAGGACGACGAGGAGGAGAAGGTGGAGGCAGTTTACGTGAGGGTCTGGACTGGCGGTTGACGCTTGTCTTAGATGTGAAGTGGGGCCAAGTTAATGGACGCTGAATGAAGTTGACCGGCTGTCAGAAGGCGCCGTAATTACATTTCACACCAGGCGGTAAACGACACATTCGCCCAAAAAAAACAAAAAAAGCCAAAGAAACAAAAAGTGACGAGGCAGCAGCTCGACTTGCCGAATATGAAATACTCTAACAAGATGAAGCATAATATTTATAGTGCTTACAGCAATCGCAGCTTGCATTTCAATGACTCTAAAAGACAAATACAAATTAAGTCAAGATTTTTAGCAGCTCTTTCAGATCGACTCCAGCTACGCTGGCAGCTCGCTGCAGTCTGCCTGAGACTTTCACATAGTTCCTACCGAAATTGTTATGCTCTCTTCATAAGCAAAAAGCGCTTTCATATCAACTACAGACGAACCCAGCCCGGCCCAACCCAGCGCTGTTCATATTGACAGTTGGGCTGAGGCGCGGTTAGACTTAGGTTTAGCGTAAATGAGTCTCGCTATATATATATGTGATATGATATATCTCTATGTATATTACATTACAAATAGGCGGTCATAAATTCAATTCAAATCAAATTCAAATAAAACCGCTTGTTTGAGCGCAACCCTGAGGTCAGTCTATCCGTCCTTCCGTCCTTCCGTCCGTTTGCATTGCACAATTATTTGTTTACGCAAAGTGACAATACAGTAAGAGTAACGAAAAAATATGTATCAATGATACAATTTAATTAATTTCGACATTTAATGACAAAACGCGTGAAACATGTATTTTATATGACAATCAGCCAAAATTTCTATTGGCAGAAAGCAGCATACAAAAAAATAAAGGAGGAAATTTAATAAAACACAAAATAAACACGAGGAAATTTGATGACACATGGCAAATGTTGTATTTCGCCTTTTTTAATATGCGACAAAAAATTAATAAAAAAACATGTATATATGCAAGGTAACGAGGTACGCTTGTTGACATAGCTCTTGTTAAATATTTGTGATTGAAATGTTTTATTTCTTTTTTTTTCCATATTGCAGCAATTGGAAATTCGTGTGGAAAATGTTGTTTTGACATCACTCAGATTGGGAAGTATGAAAGCTTACACTGTCAAAGGCCGATAAGACGCAAATCGTCATCATTTCTCTAGAAATTTGTTTTATAAATTATAATCATGTACCAAAGACGAGGCCACTTGCTATTCGTAATGCTCAAATATGAAATTCCTGCTAAATCACTGATTTTTTAAGCCTCATCAATGAAGATCAAAGAGAAAACTATGTGTAAAAATTGCTTCAACAAAAATTGCTACAGATAAAGAAGACACTACGAAGCTCTTCTATAAGTTGAAATCAATATATTTTTATTTTAATAAGCTTAGAAATTTGTATTAATTTTTTGATATTTCATACAATATTTATAAAGTCGAAAAAAAATAAATTTGTGAAAAGCAAAAGTTGAGCTAAAGGAAATTTCCATAAAATATGGTCAACATATATATACAAATATATGTATATAAATATATTGCATATCAATTAGTTATTTAGAATATATTTAACATATTGAATTTTGGGCTGAAATCAATTCGTTTTGCAACTTTTCAAACTGCGCTCGCGATTTGTCAACACGTCATGAAAGAGACGCCGCAGGCACAACGCAAATTGACAGAGTTATTACATTTTCCATGTATGTGAGTGTGTGTGTGTGTGTGTAAAAAACCGCAATTGAAATGCAAAATATTGTGCATATTTAAAAGTCAAAATGCAATCATTGAAAAAAGGTGCAGTCAGAGCAATGTAAAAATTGCCTAGGGGCTAGTTCTCCCAATGGGTCAGCGGTTTGGTTGGGCGGCTTGGGTCGTTTGGGTGGTTTGTATGGTGCATTTATCAGCGCGCAGTTTACCTTCAAATTCAAATTGGACAACATCAAATAATTGTTAAAGGCCCAATAACAATAACCAAAATGCATGAGTCAGAGCGAAAGGGAGAGGGGGGGGGGCGGGGGGTGAGTTCGTGGCGCATTAAGGGCAGTTCGGGCAGCTGAACAACTTGGCAACTGGGGAGCCTGGCCAAATGCAATTTATAGTGCGTGTAAATGAACTGCTGACCAAAAAGCCAAACCGAGCGCAGGTCTATGGGGGAAATTGCCCATGCAAGTGTAACTATGCACAGCCCCCCATAGCCAGCCCCCCTATCTCTGGCTGTGTGTGTGTGTATTAAATTTATTGATTTCCATATATTTATATGTGTAAAATGCCATAAATTACAATTATTTAACAGAGCCGGACGGATGGAGGCAGCGCCGCATCGGACGAGGCGGCACAAGCTAGGCCCAACCAGCAATTGGGGCGCAGTTGGGTCAGTGGCGCAGTTGCTGCTGTTGCTGTTGTTGCCATTGTTGTTGTTGTTGCGTCTTTGTGTATGTTGGCTTGTTGCTGTTGCATAATTTGTTAGCCAAATTGCAACTCAACAAGCTAGCAACAATGAGCCCGAAAACTCAGCAACAGACACAGGTGCATGCAACGCACACACACACAACAGGCACAGCACACACACAAACACACACATATAGAGAAGGCTTTGACTGCGTTTGCTCCACACCATACTCATCAAATATGCAAAATTTGCCTGTTTCAGCTGAAGCAACAACACATCGAGCTGCACGCCAAAGATATCCAGTGACTCAACGCCAACGGTGATATGTGATAATGTTAAACTGTGATCTAAAATGAGCACACACTGCAGAGTCTTTATGCTGTTCCAAGTCTCAAGTATATATTATCAGCTTACGTATACGCAATATATTGAGCATACGCAACGTGCTGCAGCTGTTCGAGTTCACTGTATGGCGAAAACTAAAGCAAATTGAATCGAAGAAGGCGATATATGTATATATAATCGTATAATATATTTGATTTCTTCAAATAAAACTGAAGAGCAAACGGAAATTTGAAATAGAAATCGCTTTATACTGCGAAGATGGCGAATAATTATATATATATATAATATATTTATATATTTATATTTATATAATATCTCGTCGATTACTTAGTAATCTTCATCATTCATAAATTGATAGAAATTTGCATAAATAATGATCAAATTGCAAGTCTTTTGTATTGCTCATCTCTTGGCTGGCTGGCAGTGTGGTGCCACGCCCATTTGGTCACATGACGCCCACACAATAGCAGTTAGTTCAATCGCTAGCCGACTTGTTGGCTTTGCAGTTTTGCCGCTATTATAGAGTCCGAAGCTTATTAGCTGCGCTCTAGGCTCCAGGGGTCTCAAAATGCCATGCAAATGGGTGAATTTACAATCAAAAGAACGATTTTCATATTTAAGATCTCTATGCACACAGAGAGAGGGCAAGGGAGAGCGATGGAGAAGGGGAGAGACAGGGACAGAGCGAGAGACAGACAGGCATGCACTTAATTTGGTAATTGTCTAAAGGACAACGAAGTCGAAGGGAATAAAACAAGCAGCACAGAAGCTAGGCATATATATATGTATATATATCTTGTATTTAGATAAACACACATATATATGTATGTGCATATGTGTGTGTGTGTCCCGGCCAGTCTTGGTCATTAATATTAATTTCGTCTTTAATTTATTGTAATTTACGTGCATTTGATAAATCGTATTATTATTATAAGCAGTCTCTCTATCTCTCTCTCTCTCTCTCTGTGAGTCTCCCCCTCTCTCCTTCTCTCTGTGTGTGTCTGTGAGAAATATGTTTTCTGGTAATGACAGCACAATAGATATATGAAACTTACCTTTTGCTCTTGAAAAGCGTCAGCAGTGCCAAAGACGAGTTAAAGCTGCAAATAAAATGGCATAAAAACTGATTAGAATTGTTGAAATGTTTGCTTAAGTAGTTTAACTACTTGGCCTTTTGTAGCTGCTGCTGCTATAAGCCTTCTTATTAATAAACAGTTGTGCTAATTGCCCATTGGAATTGATTGTGTTTGGCTTGTGAAAAGCATTAATTGGAAATTATAATCCCAAGTCGAATTATTATAAATTTGCCATTTGCCTCAGCTTAAGATGCATATATTTAAGAAGAGATATTAGCCGTAGTTGGTTTTTTTTATATTTTCATTTATTTAAAATTAACACATATGTGTGCTTATTTTATTTTATTAAATATGTATTATTTCTGAATGAAGTAAATATATTTTTAAATTCTTTTTGTCAAAGAAATAGAATAGACAAAATGTTGTATGAATCAAAAGTTGTATTAAATAAATATATAAATATAATTATATGTGCATTAGTATGTGTGAATGCGTGTGTGTACTTATTCAATAAAAAAAGTTTTCTCTGTGTGTTCGCCAGAGCAGCGCTTAAGGCGCTTTGCAAAAGTTCAAAATTCTCATTAAATGCCAGAACAGCCCCAATAACAACAACAACAATAACAGTTGCAATATACTAAATATTTATGCCTTGTTGTAAAGTTTTTTTCTTTCTTCTTATTTTTTGTGTTTCACATTTGACTTTCATATAAAAATTGTGTAAAATAATAAAAATAATTTCACACACTCACACACACGCACATTGTCGCCAGACGCCATTTTCTTTTGTTATTATTGTCCTTTGTTGTTGTTGTTGCTGCTGCTGCTGTTGCGTGTAATGGACGCCGTTATGTGCATTGACATTGGCTTTGGGCCGAGCGCATCGCCGGCATGGCGCAAGGACGACATGAGCTGTGCTCCTTGTGCATTACTTTGGCTTGACTGAGCCAGGCTGCCAGGCAGCCATCTGCCTGCACGCCACGCCCCCATAGCTACCATTCTCGGCACGTTTATAAACGACATAAATATAATTAAATTGTTATAAAAATGCATTCAACAAAATAACAACATGAGAGCTAACAGCGATTGGTTGAAGGGTCCGCACACTTGTCCATTGAGCATTACAAGTTTATGGTCCGCACTTCACGTGCTCCTCCTCCTCCTTCTCCACCTCCCTCTCCACCTCCTTCAGCTCTACCAGCAGCTGCTGCTGCTCTTGGCGAGTGCAAGTGCTCAAAGTGTGCTTGAAATGCACTCGAATGCACTCGTTTGCACTGGGCGCTGGACGCCGTGCACTACAAATAAGTTATCTCTGCCCCAAAGGGCCTTTGCTACTGACAGCCTCTCTATGTGATTCTCATGCGTGTGCAATTGCAATTGTTTAGCTTCTCGACGGCCCTCATACACATGCCGAGCAATGTCTTTCGAGTTGATTCACCCGCCATCGATTTCAAATTAGAAATCTGATTCATTTCGATTTACGCTGCAATCGTTATTAGCCTTTCGATTGGGTAAACGCTTAACAAACAGCGCATTTTGTTATCGATACATTTTATGGCCGCTTCTCGACGGCGTTCAGCGTTAACACCCACACGCGATGAGTGGACAGAAAGCAGGTCTCTTATCGCCATTTGACATGGTCGCGCCTCATTTGCGGCTCGTTTGTGCTTAAAAGCTGAGAGATAACAGCCCGCTGTGACCGTGTCGCTGGCTCAATCAAGAAAATGAACTCGCTTTGTGGGGCCACCCACGAGCCGAGCCAACCAAAATTATTGCAATAATCAAATCAAATATATATACACGTATGTGCCAGTATGTGTGTGTGTGTGTGTGTGAATAAATTTTCTATGGGCATCTTTTGTATCTGTGAGATATCGCATGCCATCGTTATTAATAGAGTTCATTAGCTGCAGACAACGAGAGCCGCGTCGAGTGGACATATCGAGTGAACCGTAGCCCCGCTACCACCAAAGCGTAGAGCAGAAGAAAACCAGTTCTCTAACCGAAAAGTCTCGCACTCTTTCCCTGAATTCCAGAGTCTTTTCGTTATGGTTTCTGTTGAAAAATGCTTTGTTTATAAATGCGTTTATCATTCGGTTCATGCGATCTCTGTTTTCTTCATTGCCCTTTCTTTAATGAGAACTAATGAACGCCTTGGCAATGCGATCGTCATCAGCATCAACATCCCCATCATCATCATCTTCATCATCATTATCATTGCTGCCGGTTTTTAAATTTTGGTCATTGTCAAAAATAAACAAAAAAAAAGTATTTTTATTCAGCTGCTTTTATTGTTTACACAAGAGCAATAAAAAATCACAATAATATTAAACAAATACAAAAAGGGGGCCAACCCACACACACACGCACATGTAACTCTTGGTCGTAAAAGAAAAAAAAACGAAATCAGTTCGAAATCTGTTAATGCAAATGCTAAGAGCCTCAACAATTTCTGTGTATCTTTGGGATCTCAAACTAAAATCATTTTCGATATCAATCAAACAGCTTAAAGATTGAAGCGTCTTTATGAACAGAGATTACACGTGTGAATTTATGGCTAGACATTAAATGGATCTGAATAGATGATAGATTAAAGATATAGATAAACAGGGCCAAGAATGCATAAGCCTTGTTTGTTCTTTCAGTAAATTGAATAATTTGATTGACACGCCATAAAAATAGATAAAAACAAAACTATTAAAAATCAATATGAACTACACTCTCCCTCTCTCTCTGTCTAAAAGTTAACCCTTCTAAAAAAGAAATCATACAATTTCCCTCAACAAAATGTTAACAACAACGAAAACAAAAACTAAACACGTAAAAGCCAACTACAAAAAGTTGCAGCACAAAAACTAACAAAGTTTTGTTCGTTTCGCCCATTTCCTGACTAAAGCACAAAAAATGTCAAAAACTAAAAATATTAAGTATTTATATGTATTGGTATGTGTGTCTGTGCCTGTGTCTGTGTGTGTGTGTGTTTATAAAATTATGTCAGCAGTGCTTAACAACAACAGCAGCAAGGATATGTGCCTTGCGGCACAGGCGTGTAAATTATTTATGTGCCAACTGTCCTTCTTATGAACGTCCCGCTACCTGCCCCCTTTGCTCACATAATCCCAATGTGGCACGCATGGTTCCTGCTGCTCCTGCTGCTGCTGTTTGTCGTCCTCTGCTGCTGCCAGTTTATAAATAAAAATCATTATTACTGGATGCCGCGCAGCTCCCTCTAGCCCCTCCCCTCTTGCTGCTCCTGCTCCTTCTATCTCTCTCTGCTCCTGTACTACCTATTGTCCCTCGGCTACTGCTACCTCTACTCCCGCTCAGCTCCTGCTCCAACTACACCCTCTGCTCGTCTCTGTCTCCGCCGCTGCCTCTGTTGCTTCGGCTTGGGGTTTTTCAGTTGGCGACGTTGGAGTTTTCGTTTGAAATTAGCACGCATTGTCCTTAATTGTTGGGGCGTTTGGGTTTTCATTTTGGGGCTTGGGCTTTCCATTTTTTGTTTTTTTTTTTTCTTCGTAGTCTTGTTGTTGCTGTTTAACAAGCTTGGGTCTGGTGGAAACCCGCTGCCTGCCGGCTTCTGGCTTGGTGTGCGCCAAGCCAAGCCAATGACTCGTTTGGTTGGCTGCGTGTTTATTTATTTGACTTGTGCATGTCGCTTTTGGGTGTTAACTTTAATAATTAACGGCATTAATTGCCGCACATGTCACATGTTGGCTTTCGGCTTGTTCCGCTCAAGCCACCCGAGCCACCCAAACTGCCTTCAACCATTCAGACGCACCACCAACACCACTCATGCATGTCCATGCATTTTGTAGAATTTGTATCCAATTTATTTTTCATTCTTTTTATTATTTAAGCGCTTATGTCATGTCATATAACCAGCCGAAAGATTCACAACAACAACAACAGCAGCAGCACAGAGCCCCGCCCACCGGGTCACAACACGCCCATCAAATTGGAACGCCTACCTCAGCAGAGAGACTGCATTATTCATAAGCCCTAAACGTTAATTATGCACATGCCATTGTCTTTTTAGCCTTTTTTTGGCTTTCGACTTTTGGCTTTTAATTGCATAAGAGTAAAAAGAAAAATAGTTAAAAGCTTTGTTTTTCTTTGTATTTTATTTTTCAGCTCTTTCTGAGAGTTAGTTAAAGACCAAATATAGATTTATAACTAGCACAACGAAGGAGATGACAGCCTCTTTATAGAGTTAACTGGTTCGAATTACAATCAACTCCTTAAGGCCTACATTTGTTATTATATGCAACTAAGCTATTATATAACTAGAATTTGAGCCAAGATTTCTTTACAATGCAATCAAATTCAGAGCAGCTATGAACACAGCTCTAAGAGCAGATCAAAATCTAAAGCCCCACAGCACGATTCGAACCTCTTTACTCCCAATCCTCAAGTTACTTACCAACACTATGGCTTAAGAGCTCTCAGCTCTGATGACTTAAGCCAAAGCTCCTTTCAACTAGGTTTATCAATTCGCTCGATAACATTATCGATAAAGCAAGTCAAGTGGAAGTCGCTAGTTTGCATGGCTGGCGACTGTAAAGGGGGCAGGGCGGCTGGAGGAGGTGGCCAAGTGATGCTCAATTAAAGCAACGTTTTGGCCATAAATGCCAGGCACTTAACAAATCCCTGACGATTATGAGTCCGACAATGAGGATTCAGAATGAGCCTTCTGTGTGTGTGGCATATGATTTTCAATTTATGCCACAAATCCGGAACCCAGACAGACGCCGCCAAACTTTTTTTCCGTTCCTCGTTTTGTGTGTATTATTTTTATTATTTTTTGTGTTATGTTAGGTCTCTCTCTCTCTCTCTCTCTCTCTCTCTCATGGCGGTGGCGGCGGCTTAACGCCTACGTCGATACAATTTGAGTTGGGTCGCAATGAGGGATGGGGGCGTGGCATGGCATGGCTATGTGCTTGCTGCGAGTGGCATCAAATCGAGTCCAAGTGGCAATGGGGTCGTCAACAGCAACAGCAACAGCAACAGCAACAGCAGCGGCAGTGGCA